CCCAGGTGAGCTGGTTTAGGGTTTAGGGCTTAGGGTTTAGGGTTAAGCCTTAGGTGAGTTTTCATGAGCCTCAGGCGAGTTTCATGGTTTGGGTTTTAGATGAGTTGCTTCGGGTGTTCATGGTTTGGGGTGTGCTCAGGTCTGGTGCGTTCATTCATTTAAGCTTCAACCGTGTCATTCAACTCGTTGTAGCATGTAACTTCTCATAACATAAGACACTCACTGGCCTCACAGTCAACGTCATTGTATCATAGGCACTTCCTTCCTCCTTCCGTCTCCACTGTACAACAAGCGGCCTAATTCTACTCGTTTCTTTCCTCTTCTTTCCTTCCGCTCCCCATCCACGTGTTGAAGGTGCTCTGGTAGCCTCAGGAAGGGGCTGCAACAGTTTCACCCAGCAGCACTTGGCATCCCAGCCCCACCCCGCACTTCCTTTCCCTTCTTTTCTGCGCTCCTTTCCCTCAGGACAATGTGGAAATCAAATCTGCGAGTCACCTGAGGTTAGCCCTGACTCGCCTCGGCTCCAATCTTGCTGACGAGCTTCAGGTGTGCTTTGAAGACCTTCAGGTGTGCTTTGAAGACTGTCAGGTGTGCTTTGAAGACTGTCAGGTGTGCTTTGAAGACTGTCAGGTGTGCTTTGAAGACTGTCAGGTGTGCTTTGAAGACTGTCAGGTGTGCTTTGAAGACTGTCAGGTGTGCTTTGAAGACTGTCAGGTGTGCTTTGAAGACTGTCAGGTGTGCTTTGAAGACTGTCAGGTGTGCTTTGAAGACTGTCAGGTGTGCTTTGAAGACTGTCAGGTGTGAATTGATGACTGTCAGATGTAAATTGAAGACCGTCCGGTATGCGCTGAGTCGAGCTGCCATGCTTTGAGTCGACTCAAAACACGGGCTGCTGCTGGCCGTTCATCATCTGATTCTCTGAGGGGGCGCATCAGCCAAGTCATAACCTGTCATGGTGGCTGTGCTGAGCGCATCAGAAGCATAACCATCACCGGTTTATCACCTGCCGATCGAACTGCCATCATCCATGCCCATCCATGCTCATCCATGCTCATCCATGCCCATCCATGCTCATCCATGCTCATCATTGCTCATCCATGCCCATCCATGCACATCCATGCTCATCCATGCTTAACCCTCCATGCCATTGGTCCATGTTTGCCACGTGGCTAGTGGCCATTGAACCATGGGAGAAGAATGGGGGTGCAGGCTGGGGTGGGGGTTCAAGGAAAAGAATTGGGAAAAACGGTTTGAGGTTTATCATTATGTCATTTTCCTGTGCCTCTCCGGCTCGTTTTGCTGTCATCGGTTTGCTGCTTTTCTAGTTCCTTACCATCCTCATCCCCATCTTGTCTTTCCATTTTCTTTCCATGTGCAGGTTCATGCTTCCTGCTCCAATAGTCCTGTTATTCACCTACATACCTGAATTGTCTCGCCAGTTTGTGTCAGCAAAGGTCGTCATGTCAATTCTTTCACCATCTAGTAAAAGAGAACGTCGAAATACCAGGTGCATACAAATGTGCTGACTGGAATGTGCTGTCAGGGACCATGAAGCTAAGGTTTCACACAGGCCATGAAGCTAATCCTTGGTCAGATGTACCATAGTATCAGAATATCACCATCTAAAATTTCTCTTTATTGTTTCCAACACAAGTACACAAGTTTCTTGCCATGATGCCAGCCAGGCATGTACGTTACAACTCTAACTGAACTGAACTCTTACTGCATTACAAGACAATGGCTATAATAAATAGAGCATGAAACTTATTGTACAGAGCTACATCTAAGCAGTTACCGTACCCTTTTAGTTAAGGTCCCTACAGCATCCCTTAGGGCCTCCATGGAGGCCTTATTGCCGCTACCCTGGCCATCCTTGAAGCACCTTTGCAAGCTCCTAATCTCCTGCATACGACTCTTCTCTCCTGCCTCTTTCTCAGTGCTGCTGATGCCGAATCTTCCCTGAGACCCCCACCAGCAAGAGCAGCCAACGCTCTAGAAACAGTTTCCCTCACTCCAGATTCCGCACCTCCTACTCTTCCTTCCTGCCTCTTGCCCTGAACTGCAGCTGACCCAGCCCAGAGACACCCACCAGCAAGAGCAGCCGGCAATCTTGAAACTGCTTCCCTCACTCCAGATTTCGCACCCCCAACCCGACGTTCCTGCCTCTTGCTCTGTGGCGCAGCTGTGCCTTTCCTGAGACCCCCTCCAGGACGAGCGACCAGTGATCCCGAAGACACCTCTCTCTCTCCACTTCCCACGCTTCCAGCCTCATTCTTCTGCTTCTTGTCCTGTGTTGCTGCTGCTGCTGGCACCTTCTGGAAACCTCCACCAGGAGCTGCTGAGACACTGCTCCAGTGGACGTCACTGCTGCTGCAGATGCCAGAGCAACTGCTGATCGTGGTGCCAGACTCAGAGCCGAACACGTGGACGTCACTGCTGCTGCAAATCCCGCTCAGATCAGAATCATCCTCCAGGAGATCACTCTCTGCAGCCATAAACAGTGAGTAGATTTCTTCTGCAGCCTCAGCTTCAGCTGCTGGCACTTCCTGCTGCTCAGAAGGAAAGATCCGCGCGTTCTCCTCCTCAGCAGCCGGAGAGGGAGCTAAGGAGGCCATATAAGCATCCCATTGTGCCTGCAGCATAGCATGACGCGCAGCCTGCTGCAACGCTGCCCGTTTTATAAAGAGGCTCAAAACTTCGGCAAAGGTAGGATATTCTGCTGACTCACGGATCGGAGCATAACTCTTCATCCGGATTAGAATACCGCATTTCTCCCAAAAGGCCACAAGCTCAGTAAAGGACGGAAAGTCAGAAGAACAAGCCATCAAGCTAACCGAGTTTGTGTGGGAGAGTAAAAGCAAAGCTAAACGCTAAGATCGACGAGGTTCCGAGAGAACGATATTAAGAAACGAGGTCTGAATTTGCTAGAAAAAGGCTGAATTAACAGAACAAGAAGAAGCTGAAAATGAAAATTCTGTGCGTTGGATTTGTAGATGAGACGAGCAACAGGGGAGAGGGGGATGGAGGCTGTGTGGAGGGGACACTAAAAGGAGGGAGTGTCGAAAAAGGAGGAACTGTTCTCGGTTGCTGCCTGAGCACCTCCGGAAAAACAGAACCATGGAATGGCATCCTGCCCCGCGCGATCTTTACTGAAACCGCGAAAAGGGAACAAAAAATTGCTGGTGAACCGACTCTCGCTCAGGGTCCTCGAGGGTAAGCGAGAAAGAATCTGTTTTTTCGCTACCCCCGATTCTACCGTGTTTCCTGCCCCCGACAGAAAGTTTTCCGCTGCGCGCTAGCGGAGATCCATTCCTACAAAGTCGACGGCATGAAATAACAAGTTTCGCCTGCCCGACCGCACTCGAAGCACTGACGAACCTCTGGGGTACTCCCATTGCCGATAACGCCTAAGGGTGGTGGCGCTGTGCCTCCCGCAATCGAAGGAAGACAGGTTTGGCATCGAAGCTCCGAAACTGAGAACATCAGGGATGAGATCGAGGTCAGGTCAGAATGGCGAATTCGTACTCTCTAGGGAGCTCCTCGTCCTAAATATTCTGCATTTTAAACCATCAATACCATTTCATGCATATTCCTACACCAATATATTTCCCTGAAATCGGAAGGATTGTAAATTTGGGTGCGAAAACAAAATCAGCAAACTAAAACATCATATTATCTTTTAAACTTCATTAGAATGCTTACTCTATGGATTGTGCACGGTTGCTGCTGTGTGAAGTGTGAGGTTGAGTTGTGTTGGTGTTAAAATTTTAAACGCTGATATAACTAGCAAGAACTGTTTTGGCGCGTTGCGCTCACTCAGCCGAACTGCACCACTGATTCTCCTCAGGCACCAGCTCCCTTTCCCCACCCCGCCGGTTGCGCATTGCACGTTGCGCTCACTCAGCCGAACTGCACCGCTTCACTTTCATCAGTCAACCTCTCCCAAATCTGGCATCACTCGCGCCTGCATGCGAGGCACAACACCAAGCTTTCCTTGCCTGCTCGTTCCCGTCACCTCCGAGTCGCGCTGACGCCAGTCAGCAGCCATTTTCCAAAGCTCGCATGACGGTTCAATCGCTGTTTTCTCGAAATGGGTCGCGCATGGGTTTGCTGCAGCAGTCACAATCGCTGGAAGTGTACCATCGAAGCAACGATCACGGATTCATTGCGAGGCGGAAGAATCGGCGGAAGCGGCGGCTTTTGCGCCTCCGCATGCGCTCGTACGCTCCGCCGCCGCCTTGACGAGGTGGCTTTTGAGTCGACTCAATGGTCACCTCCCCGCCGCCTTGACGATATATTTGTAGGACAGATACTAGACGCTGGAATGTACACTGCTAGACGGCTATCGACGCTTTTACGGGGATCTTGATCGAATCGTGGATCGCGCTTATGCGAGCGCTCTGAAGGTCCTTTACTAGATCCCGCAAGGTACAGCGTTATCTATACAGTGCTGTACATTTTTCGAAATAGTGTCGTGGGATGTTTTTTCCCTCGTCGGAATTGGCATGACGTGTTTCTCCTCGCCTGTTGCACCCCAAGTGTCCATCTCTTCCTCTTTCTCCTTCCCGTCTATTTCCTGCCGCTCACTCGCTTCCTCTGTCTCTCGTCCTCGGTTCCCCCTCATTCAGTTCGTCTCTCCCTCTCGTTCTTCCCTATTCCCTCCCTTTACCTCTTCCTCTCATGCTTCCAGACCGCTGCATCTACGAGTGCTACTGGTGCCGCTCTTTATGTAATTCCATTACACGAGAGCAATGTGTGGGGATGGAGGGAGAGCAAGGCAGCACACTGGGATTCCATGCATGGGTTGTCATGTCAGGTGTGATAGGGATGAAGAGCAGACTCATTGGCTGCAGGTGACAGTGCTGGCAGCAGCAGAGGTCCCTCACCACAGGCCGTCTGTCCCTTAAAGGCTGCAGAGGAAAAACCGTAGGTGCAGTGGGGTGGGGTGCGGTGTATGCTGAGGCAGGCAGGCAGGCAGGCATCAAGGTACGTTCTGGGATTCATGGGAGTGAGGGAGAGGGAGAGAGGAGTGGGAGAGGGGAGTGGGAGTGGTTAGAGGGAGAGGGGAGAGGGAGAGGGGAGTGGGAGTGGGCAGAGGGAGAGGGGAGAGGGGGAGAGGGGAGGGGAGAGGGAGAGGAGAGAGGTGAGTGGGAGAGGGGAGATGGAGAAGGGAGTGGGAGAGGGGAAAGGGAGGTGAGTGGGAGAGGGGAGAGGGAGAGGGGAGAGGGTGAGTGGAGAGGGAGAGGGGAGTGGGAGTGGGGAGTAGGAGAGGGGAGTGGGAGAGGGGAGTGGGAGAGGGGAGTGGGAGAGGGGAGTGGGAGTGGGCAGAGGGAGAGGGGAGAGGGAGAGGGGAGAGGGAGAGGAGAGAGGGAGAGGTGAGTGGGAGAGGGGAGAGGGAGAAGGAGAAGGGAGAAGTAAACGGAGAGGGGAGAGGGAGAGGGAAAAGGAGTTATGGGATGAAGTTGGGGAATGGTTGAGAGGAGAGCAGGTAGGCTGGAAGGGACAGGGAGGAAGGCAAGTGAGGAGGATGTTGGACCGAACGAGGGGAGATGCCTCATCTTAGTTCTAACAAGTCACGGTGCCTTCCTGTTTGCAGGTCAGGCCAGAAAAAGGAAAGTCTTTTCTGCGAAAAGGGCGTTGAAACTTCTTCGTAGTGGAAGAAGTGCCTAGCCAGTAGGAACCAGGACTACTGTATCTATGAATTATCCGCTTCAAGTGTGCTGAAGTTTGTTTCCATGTATTGCGTGCGAGCATAGAGGAAGAGAAATTTCATTCATTGCAGGTGACAGTGCTGGAAGCAGCAGACTGCACGTTTCTTCCTTGTGGTATGTCCACGAGTGTTGTTTACGGGCTATTCCGTCCCACTCCTCGCATGTGTCCCAGCTCACACCGCAAGTGACACTGCTGGCAGCAACAAAGGGTGGCTCCGTTTCTTGTAACGTCATTCATTTTATCAGGGCAATCCACCTCATTACTGTTTTGACTTCTCAAAGGTGACAGAGCTGACAGCAGCAGAGGGCAAATCAAATCTACCGTACAAGTGATCCTGCCGAGCTTCACTTCAGGTGAGTTTCCATGAAATTGAGGTGGGTTTTGATGAGCTGCAGGTTTAGGGATGGGTTCTTGGATGAGCTGCAGGTTTAGGGATGGGTTCTTGGATGGGGGTGACGGTAGTACACAATTATGGTTTCCTGAAAATTGGGAATCACAATTATGGTACGACGATTTGTGCTAAGGTCCGTTTGACTTGTGTTGGTGTTAAGGTAACACTTAAATATCCAATTTAATGCAATCTAAGTTTATGTATCTTCCCAACGCAGAGTTGAGAGGTGATGCTAAGGCTCAATGTGGAAATATAAAACTGGTATAAAACTGCTTAAACAGCAGAGTGATTTTGACTGTGCTGTATCAAGAACTATTATAGCGCGCTTCGCTCACTTAGCCGAACTGCACCACTGATTCTCATCAGACACACAAAAGCTCTTCAGAATCTGCAATCGCTCGCGTCGCGCCTAGTAATATGCCTATTACTACGTACCTCAGGCAGCAGCTCACTGTCCTCGCCTGCTCGTTCCTGTCACCTCAGAGTCACGCCAGTCGGCAGCCATTTCCAACGCTCGCGTGTCGCGGCGGACGCATTTTTCTCGAATTGGGTCGCGCATGGACTTCCTGCTGTCACGATGACTGATCGATCGAGCAGCGATGTCTTTTTCAATGCAAGGCGGAGAAATCGGCGGAAGCGGCGCCTTTTGCGCCTCCCGCTTGCGCTCGTACGCTCCGCCGGCGCCTTGAGGATAGATACATACACGGACAGGCGTTGGAACATACATTGCTAGACCGTTAGACGCTTTTAGCGGGATCTGGATTGAATCGCGGATCGCGCTGATGCAAGCTCTCCGTAGGGCCTTCACTACATCCTGCAAGGCACAGCGATTTCTCTACAGTGCTGTACGTTGTGAGAGCAAGCGTTGTTGATTGTTTTTCCCGCGCCAGTTGTTATTTCCGGTTTTGAGTGCCAGAAATCTCAGGATATGTCGTGAAGTGTTCCCCCCGCCGGCTGGGCCTCAAGAGTCCATCTGTTCCTCTCTCTTCCCTCCCATCGATTCCCTGCCGCTCACTCTCGCTTCCTCTGTCCCTCTTCCTCGCCTACTTCCTCATTCCGTTCCGCTGTCTCTTCCTCTCATGTTTCCTCATTCCCTTCTCTTCCTCTTCCGGTTTTCTTCCTCATTCCCTTCCTCCGTCTCTTCATCTTGTTTTCTCTTCATCCCAACCGCCATAATTTCTCCTCTCTCTTCCCTCCCATCGATCCCCGCCGCTCACTCGCTTCCTCTGTCCCTCTTCCTCACTTTCTTCCTCATTCCGTTCCTCTGCCTCTTCCTCTCATGTTTCCTCATTCCCTTCTCTATCTCTTCCGGTTTTCTTCCTCATTATCTTCCTCCGTCTCTTCATCTTGGTTTCTCTTAATTCCAGCCGCCATAAATGAACGGAAAGTTTGCTCCTGCTGTTTGTTCATCTCGCCGTTTCTCTCCCATTTCCTCCTTTTCACTCCCCTCACGCCCATCCATCAGAAAAGGTGCTCGGATATTCTCCTCAGCTGCCTACCCCCTGTCCTGGCCCTTACAGCCTAAGAAAAGCTGTAGATGCAGTGGGGTGGGATGCGGTGTATGGTAAGGCAGGCAGGCAAGCATCAAGGTATGTTCTGGGATTAATGGGAGTGAGGATGAGGGAGAGGGGCGAGGGAGAAGGGAGGGAGAGGGGAGTGGGAGAGGGGAGAGGGAGAGGGGAAAGGAGATATGGGATGGAGGCGAAGGGGGGGAAATGGTTGAGAGAGGAGAGGGGGTGCTTCATAGTGGTGCTGTGAGGGACAGGGAGGCAGACAGCTGAGGAGCATGTGGGATAGAACGATCGAATGGTGAGAGGAGCGAATAAGCCACCACACTTTCCTGTTTGTCAAGCGAGAGTAAGGGTTAGCTGTTCTGTGGAAAGTGCAGCGAGACTTCTTCCCATATGGAGCCGAGTCGAATTGTGAGGCAAGTCGGATTCTTTGTGACCTGGTAAGATCAGAAGCATTCCAGATTACTGCGTCTACGAGTGCTGCTGATTGGTAGCATTCTCTGTTTTTTGTGATAGGGATGGAAAAAAGGGTAGGGCTTTCATCATTGCCTCCATGCTGCCATCATTGCCTCCATGCTGTCATCATTGCCTCCATGCTGCCATCATTGCCTCCATGCTGCCATCATTGCCTCGATGCTGTCATCATTGCCTCCATGCTGCCATCATTGCCTCCATGCTGTCATCATTGCCTCCATGCTGTCATCATTGCCTCCATGCTGCCATCATTGCCTCGATGCTGTCATCATTGCCTCCATGCTGCCATCATTGCCTCCATGCTGTCATCATTGCCTCCATGCTGTCATCATTGCCTCCATGCTGTCATCATTGCCTCCATGCTGTCATCATTGCCTCCATGCTGTCATCATTGCCTCCATGCTGCCATCATTGCCTCCATGCTGCCATCATTGCCTCCATGCTGCCATCATTGCCTCCATGCTGCCATCATTTCCTCCATGCTGCCATCATTGCCTCCATGCTGTCATCATTGCCTCCATGCTGCCATCATTTCCTCCATGCTGTCATCATTGCCTCCATGCTGCCATCATTGCCTCCATGCTGCCATCATTGCCTCCATGCTGCCATCATTTCCTCCATGCTGCCATCATTGCCTCCATGCTGTCATCATTGCCTCCATGCTGCCATCATTTCCTCCATGCTGCCATCATTGCCTCCATGCTGTCATCATTGCCTCCATGCTGTCATCATTGCCTCCATGCTGTCATCATTGCCTCCATGCTGCCATCATTTCCTCCATGCTGTCATCATTGCCTCCATGCTGCCATCATTGCCTCCATGCTGCCATCATTGCCTCGATGCTGTCATCATTGCCTCCATGCTGCCATCATTGCCTCCATGCTGTCATCATTGCCTCCATGCTGTCATCATTGCCTCCATGCTGTCATCATTGCCTCCATGCTGCCATCATTGCCTCCATGCTGCCATCATTGCCTCCATGCTGTCATCATTGCCTCCATGCTGTCATCATTGCCTCCATGCTGCCATCATTGCCTCCATGCTGCCATCATTGCCTCCATGCTGCCATCATTGCCTCCATGCTGCCATCATTTCGTCCATGCTGCCATCATTGCCTCCATGCTGTCATCATTGCCTCCATGCTGCCATCATTGCCTCCATGCTGCCATCATTTCCTCCATGCTGCCATCATTGCCTCCATGCTGCCATCATTGCCTCCATGCTGCCATCATTGCCTCCATGCTGCCATCATTGCCTCCATGCTGCCATCATTGCCTCCATGCTGTCATCATTGCCTCCATGCTGTCATCATTGCCTCCATGCTGCCATCATTGCCTCCATGCTGTCATCATTGCCTCCATGCTGTCATCATTGCCTCCATGCTGTCATCATTGCCTCCATGCTGTCATCATTGCCTCCATGCTGCCATCATTGCCTCCATGCTGTCATCATTGCCTCCATGCTGTCATCATTGCCTCCATGCTGCCATCATTGCCTCCATGCTGCCATCATTGCCTCCATGCTGCCATCATTGCCTCCATGCTGCCATCATTGCCTACATGCTGCCATCATTGCCTCCATGCTGCCATCATTGCCTCCATGCTGCCATCATTTCCTCCATGCTGCCATAATTTCCTCCGTGCTGCCATCATTGCCTCCATGCTGTCATCATTGCCTCCATGCTGTCATCATTGCCTCCATGCTGTCATCATTGCCTCCATGCTGCCATCATTGCCTCCATGCTGCCATCATTGCCTCCATGCTGCCATAATTGCCTCCATGCTGCCATCATTGCCTCCATGCTGCCATCATTTCCTCCGTGCTGTCATCATTGCCTCCATGCTGTCATCATTGCCTCCATGCTGCCATCATTGCCTCCATGCTGCCATCATTGCCTCCATGCTGTCATCATTGCCTCCATGCTGCCATCATTGCCTCCATGCTGCCATCATTGCCTCCATGCTGCCATCATTGCCTCCATGCTGCCATCATTGCCTCCATGCTGCCATCATTTCCTCCGTGCTGCCATCATTGCCTCCATGCTGTCATCATTGCCTCCATGCTGTCATCATTGCCTCCATGCTGCCATCATTGCCTCCATGCTGCCATCATTGCCTCCATGCTGCCATCATTGCCTCCATGCTGCCATCATTGCCTCCATGCTGCCATCATTTCCTCCGTGCTGCCATCATTGCCTCCATGCTGTCATCATTGCCTCCATGCTGTCATCATTGCCTCCATGCTGCCATCATTGCCTCCATGCTGCCATCATTGCCTCCATGCTGCCATCATTGCCTCCATGCTGCCATCATTTCCTCCATGCTGCCATCATTGCCTCCATGCTGTCATCATTGCCTCCATGCTGCCATCATTTCCTCCATGCTGCCATCATTGCCTCCATGCTGTCATCATTGCCTCCATGCTGTCATCATTGCCTCCATGCTGTCATCATTGCCTCCATGCTGCCATCATTTCCTCCATGCTGTCATCATTGCCTCCATGCTGTCATCATTGCCTCCATGCTGCCATCATTGCCTCCATGCTGCCATCATTGCCTCCATGCTGCCATCATTGCCTCCATGCTGCCATCATTTCCTCCATGCTGCCATCATTGCCTCCATGCTGTCATCATTGCCTCCATGCTGCCATCATTGCCTCCATGCTGCCATCATTTCCTCCATGCTGCCATCATTGCCTCCATGCTGCCATCATTGCCTCCATGCTGCCATCATTGCCTCCATGCTGCCATCATTGCCTCCATGCTGCCATCATTGCCTCCATGCTGTCATCATTGCCTCCGTGCTGTCATCATTGCCTCCATGCTGCCATCATTTCCTCCATGCTGTCATCATTGCCTCCATGCTGCCATCATTGCCTCCATGCTGCCATCATTGCCTCGATGCTGTCATCATTGCCTCCATGCTGCCATCATTGCCTCCATGCTGTCATCATTGCCTCCATGCTGCCATCATTGCCTCCATGCTGCCATCATTGCCTCCATGCTGTCATCATTGCCTCGATGCTGTCATCATTGCCTCCATGCTGCCATCATTGCCTCCATGCTGTCATCATTGCCTCCATGCTGTCATCATTGCCTCCATGCTGTCATCATTGCCTCCATGCTGCCATCATTGCCTCCATGCTGCCATCATTGCCTCCATGCTGTCATCATTGCCTCCATGCTGTCATCATTGCCTCCATGCTGCCATCATTGCCTCCATGCTGCCATCATTGCCTCCATGCTGCCATCATTGCCTCCATGCTGCCATCATTTCCTCCATGCTGCCATCATTGCCTCCATGCTGTCATCATTGCCTCCATGCTGCCATCATTGCCTCCATGCTGTCATCATTGCCTCCATGCTGTCATCATTGCCTCCATGCTGTCATCATTGCCTCCATGCTGCCATCATTGCCTCCATGCTGCCATCATTGCCTCCATGCTGCCATCATTGCCTCCATGCTGCCATCATTTCCTCCGTGCTGTCATCATTGCCTCCATGCTGTCATCATTGCCTCCATGCTGCCATCATTGCCTCCATGCTGCCATCATTGCCTCCATGCTGTCATCATTGCCTCCATGCTGCCATCATTGCCTCCATGCTGCCATCATTGCCTCCATGCTGCCATCATTGCCTCCATGCTGCCATCATTGCCTCCATGCTGCCATCATTTCCTCCGTGCTGCCATCATTTCCTCCGTGCTGTCATCATTGCCTCCATGCTGTCATCATTGCCTCCATGCTGCCATCATTGCCTCCATGCTGCCATCATTGCCTCCATGCTGTCATCATTGCCTCCATGCTGCCATCATTGCCTCCATGCTGCCATCATTGCCTCCATGCTGCCATCATTTCCTCCGTGCTGCCATCATTGCCTCCGTGCTGTCATCATTGCCTCCATGCTGTCATCATTGCCTCCATGCTGCCATCATTGCCTCCATGCTGCCATCATTGCCTCCATGCTGCCATCATTGCCTCCATGCTGCCATCATTGCCTCCGTGCTGCCATCATTGCCTCCATGCTGTCATCATTGCCTCCATGCTGCCATCATTGCCTCCATGCTGCCATCATTGCCTCCATGCTGCCATCATTGCCTCCATGCTGCCATCATTTCCTCCATGCTGCCATCATTGCCTCCATGCTGTCATCATTGCCTCCATGCTGCCATCATTGCCTCCATGCTGCCATCATTTCCTCCATGCTGCCATCATTGCCTCCATGCTGTCATCATTGCCTCCATGCTGTCATCATTGCCTCCATGCTGCCATCATTGCCTCCATGCTGCCATCATTGCCTCCATGCTGCCATCATTGCCTCCATGCTGCCATCATTTCCTCCGTGCTGCCATCATTGCCTCCATGCTGTCATCATTGCCTCCATGCTGCCATCATTGCCTCCATGCTGCCATCCTTGCCTCCATGCTGCCATCATTGCCTCCATGCTGTCATCATTGCCTCCATGCTGTCATCATTGCCTCCATGCTGCCATCATTGCCTCCATGCTGCCATCATTGCCTCCATGCTGCCATCATTGCCTCCATGCTGCCATCATTTCCTCCGTGCTGCCATCATTGCCTCCATGCTGTCATCATTGCCTCCATGCTGCCATCATTGCCTCCATGCTGCCATCCTTGCCTCCATGCTGCCATCATTGTCTTGTAGCAGAAGGCCAGGTTTCAGCTGAAGCAGAAGCACGGGCAGCAGATGCATCCCCCACTGCCGATGCTTCTGCTGTCCTGCTCGTGTCTGCTGCTCCCCCACTGGTGTTAGCTGCCGCCCCACTGCCATTGGAGTTAGCTGCTGCCCCACTGCCACTCGTGTTAGCTGACGCCCCACTGCCACTGGTCTTAGCTGCTGCCCCACTTGAGCTTGCTGCTGCCCCACTCGTGTCTGCTGCTGTCCCCTCTCCTCCTGTTCCCCTTAAACCCCATATTCCGCCCGTTCCACCAACCCCTCTTCTCAGCCTGCTTCTAGCTGCCTCGACTGCAGCCTCTTCCACGCGCGCCTTGTTGGCATTGTTCCCATCGAATCCGCGTGTGACGAGTCGGTTTTTGAGTCGACTCAAAACCCTTCTTCTAGCCGCCTCAATCGCAGCCTCTTCCACGCGCGCCTTGTTGGCATTGTTCCCATCGAATATGTACATACACGCCTCAGCGCAGCTCTCTGATTTAGACAGCTCTGCGGCAAACGCAAGGGCGAAATCCGTGGCGCCCACCCCACTCACATACATGCCCTTGGGAATACCATTCCCCTGCATGTCACCGCCATTATTGCTGCCCCCCTCACTGCAGTGGCTGCATCGAAACTCCCTCACTTCCCCCCTTCCATGCTCCAGACTTCAAGCCATCCCATCCACATACCTCTCCCACACACGCCCCTTTAGATTCTCCCTCCACTGCCCATTCTTCCCCCCTCTGCCACGCTCCCCAGCAGCCCCATTAACCGCCTCGCTGCTGCGCCTCTCTTCCCCTCGCTGCTATGCTTCGGTTCCCCTCCGCCTCTCCCCCCACCAGAATCACCCTGTGTAATAACCAACCTTGCCAGAGCACCCAACAGCTCCTCCTCCTTTTCCATGGCCCCACCTCTATCCATCACCTCGCCCTCCACCCGTCCCTCCTCCCCCTGCGCCTCCTCAGCAGCCTTCCCCCCGGTCCCCCTTTTCTCATCCCACTGCGCATTCTCAGGACCCTTCCCCTCCGCTCCCCCCCTCCCCTTGGAATGCGCCTCCTCCAGCCCGCCTGACAGAAGGTGCTGCACGAAGCACCCAAACCCTTCCTGCAGGTCACCACTCTCCTTCACCCCCAGCACCTGCACCAGCACGGACGCAAAGCAGTCGTTCTTAGCCTGCCTGCCCGCCCCCATCTCCGCCACGATTTCCGAATATGCTGACGTTTCTCGGGACATAGACGCCTTCTTCAGGTTCACAACGCGCGGGAACCTCACTACAAGCACAAGGAAGGCAGCGAAGCTGACCGCACGCCGGTAGGCAACCCACCGACTCGCCCACGTTCCACTCGCAACAGCAGAGGCAGCAGCAGCTGCTGCAGGAGCAGGAGCAGGTGCAGGAGCAGGAGCAGGTGCAGGTGCGGCTGTAGCAGCATCTGCACCGGTGAGTATGGCAGGCAGGCGGGATCTGATCCTCCCCAGGTCCATGAGCACGCCCACACGAGGCTCCGCCATCCACTCGAGAATCATCGCCTCGGCACAGCGAATCGGCGCCACAGCACACTTAAAGCCGAACAGCCGCTGGGGCGGCCAACCCTCGAGAGGCTCCAAAGCCTTCATGGGTGCTCGTGCTGAGTACTCAACGATGGCGCTGGATGGTTGGTCCTGGGGCGCAAGGGGGATGGAGCTGGGAAGCTGGTCGCGAAGGTCGGAACGGAATTCTGCCAGGCGGACTATGCCCAGCGCGCGCTCTGCTCGGTAGCTCACTGCGCGGTCGAAGCAGCACTCGCACTCCTGCCAATCCCACGCGCCCCTCACGTCCATGTAATGTACCATGTCTGCCCGCGACAGCAGCTGATGCCGCTGCTCTGATGCTGCGTGAGTCGCTGCTCTCCTGCCGCCGCTTTGTCGTCGCGCTGCTGCCCCTCGTTCGCGACACGAACTGTTCATCGTGCGTTGTTCGCCACCGCTCAGCATCGTTCAACTTTTATACTTGCACTGCCGACGACAACATTCATGACTGATACGAGACTTTGTAGTGTGGTCTTCCTCTACTCGGTCCCACCCAACCAAGAGGAGGAAGGTTGAGGCAGTTTTGCGGTACTTTGAGACTACGGTTTTTATTAGTACGTATATTGCAGCCTAGAAATCAGCACGTCAAGGGAGGGATGTCAGCGCATCTCTGTGAGCTGAAGTGGAGCATGAGGGAATGTTGAGATCTGAAAGCTCCAATACATCTTCACGATTGTGCTCTCGACATTTTCAAAAAGTTTGTCAATGTTCCCGCCCCGCACAGCACTCATTGGTTACAACCGTAATGATTGGCTCGCGAGCGACGAGATTTTATGTGGCGAAACCAGACAAAGGTCAACGAGGACAAAGCCGCGTTCAATACTGTACAAAGTTTTCTCCTGCTACGTTAAATCTGAACTGTAAACGCTCGCGCTGGACCCGCCCTTAGATTCGCTTCAAGCACATTCGGTGTTTGTGCATTGCTTCACATGCAAACCTGTTATTTTTCCCTTTCCACGCTTTGAAATCGTACGATTCATTTAGGCGGAACCAACAGCGGCACCGCTAGTACTCTGCCGGCTATTGCGGCATCGTCTTCTGCACCTACCTATTTGGACCTGTCTCATTGCTCCTCTACGCCAATCTCATTTTGCCACGTCCCCGTAGGCCAGCAGCAGCAGCCGCTTAAAGCCACGTGCTGTAGGCCAGCACCAGCAGCCACTTGAATCCATCATGATGGAGCGGCGCGACGACGTGATGAAGTCGATCTTCGTAATGAACTAGAAAAAGCAGCTGCTTAAAACCATTGTAACGAGGTTACATTGAGTCGACTCAATAGCACCAGCTTAAAGCCATCATGGCGGAGCGGCGCGACGACGTGATGGAGTCGCTCTTCGGGGCCGAATCGGACGGCTCGGGCGACGAAAAGGGCAGCCCTGCGCGCTCTGGCGACGATCGCCCACGTCGCAGATTGAGTCGCTCGGTCAGCGACGCGAGTGCGAAGGATGAGGTGGGCGATGAACTGATGCACGCCGCGTGATCATTCTCCCACGGCCGCCGCCCGGCGGCAGCTTTTCAGTTTTCGTTAGCATCCTTTGATACTGCCGTCCTCCACGCTCAACTTATTGAACGTGGTGGATGGTTGGTACCATCCACCAAGTTCAATAGCGTGATGGATGCTAAGAAAACTGGCATCCTTTCAATCTGGGAACCTAATGCTCATGCCTTCCGTTGTAGCGTCGCGTTGACTTCTTTCTCTGTTCACACTCTTATCAAGTTTCCTTTTCTTCCCGCCAAAAAATCGCAGCCACGTGGCAGGCGAGGAAGCGGCTCGGGTGACGACTGGGACGACCGCCGAGAGGGTGGGGAGAGGGGGGACAGGGGGGAGGGGAGGGCGGAGGGGCGGAGAGAAGAGATGAACGGGGGAAGCGGGCGGGAAGGCAGGGGGGGAAATAGGAAGGGGAGCGACGAGGAGGAGGGGGAGCGTGACGGGGAGCGGGTGCGAGGCCAGGCGGCGCAGAGGCGACGAGGGGGGCGACAGGTGATAGATGATGACGATGAGGAGGAGGATGGTGAGGGGGATGGGGGGGAAGGGGGGCGGAGGAGAGGCGGGTTTGTGGGGAGGCAAGGGGGGATGGAGGATGAGGAGGAGGAGGAGTTTGAGGAGAGGCAGGAGGAGAGGGACAGAAGTCCGCGCTCTCCCAAGCATCGCCACTCCCCTCGCTCTCCCAGGTAAAGGCTCTCTCTTCCCTTCCTCACAACCGCTCTCTCCTCCCTTCTCCCTCCTTCCTAAAACCCCCACTTCTCTTCCTGTTTTTTCCCTCCCTTCGCTCCTCTCATCTTCCCTTCCTGCTTTCCTCCTTTCTTGCCTCCCTGCGTCCCACCTTCCGTCCTATCGTTCGTCCCATCCTTCCCTTCCTTTTCCCCTCCGCTCCCCTCTCCCGCCCTCCCGTCCCTGCCTCGGCCCCCTCCACCATTCTTCTTCCCGCCCCCTTCCCCCTTCTAAGCCCCCCACTCCCCGCCCTCCCTCATCCCATCCGCGTTTCCCCTCCTCATTTCTCCGACCTTCGCCCTCCTCCGCGCCTCTCACTCCCTCCCTCCCATGCGCGGCTCGCGCGCTCAACCCCCCCATGCGCGGCTCGCGCGCTCAACCCCCCCATGCGCGGCTCGCGCGCTCAACCCCCCCATGCGCTGCTCGCACCATCACCTTACACGGCCTGCTGAGCCTGCTGCATGCAGGGCTGTGCTGCTGGGCTTCAGGGCTAAAGCCTTGACTTTCAAGAACCTCAAGGACCTTTCTACAGGGCGTTCTTCGGTTATGTGCTTCTTTAAATGCCTCTTAATCGTGCTCTCAATCCCGCCGCCCCCCTCAACCCCTCACAAATTCTCCCAATCCCTCAAGTTGATTGGTCAATTTCTTTCCCTCGCCTCCCATTCTTGCGTGCTGCTGGTTTGCTGTTGTGCTGTGAACTACGCATGTATAAGGCAGGCATATGCTTATGAGCTTCAAGGCTAGAGCCTTGTGAACCAAAGGCCTCTCTGTACCAGGCGTTACTAGGCCGACCGTGTGCTTCCTCAACCTTTTCAATCCCTCTCAGTCCCTCTCAATCCCTCTCCAATCCCTCTCGAATTGAGTGGTCCATGCCTTTCCCTGGCACAGCACCACTCGCCACTCATCACGCTGATAAAATTCGGTCCTTTCGCCCCCCCCCCCCCTCCGTCCGCTCTCCCTGCCCCCGCCTCCCATGCTCGTGTGCTTGTGCTCCTGTGCCGCAGAGGGACAGGCACAGGGCGACACAGAGACAGTGAGGGGAGTGGAGGAGAGGGCGAGGAGGGGGGTGGGGGTGGGCGCAAGGTACGGCAGCAGGTGACAGAGAGAGACCTGTTTGGAGAGTCTAGTGAGGAGGAGGAGGAGGAGGAAGGGGGGGATGGGGGAGAGAGGGGCAGGGCACAGAGGAAGGCCAGCCGCTCGCCCCAAGGCACTCCCCTGGCGTCCCCTGTAAGTTTCTCCTCCTCTTGCCTCGCTGGGGGTGGGGATGGGCGCAAGGTGCGGCAGCAGGTGACGGAGAGAGACCTGTTTGGAGAGTCCAGCGAGGACGAGGAGGAGGAAGGGGGGGATGCGGGCAGGAAGCAGAGGAAGGCCAGCCGCTCGCCCCAAGGCACTCCCTTGGCGTCCCCTGTAAGGCACTGTCACTCCCCTGGTGTTTCTGGTATGGAAGCTTCTAAGTAGGCGCCTCATAAGTCGATGTTGTGGCTGGTACGCTTTCACACCACACCGTACAGCAGTGCATGTTGCTGTTGCGTCTTCACCTGCCACTTGACTTCTCCGCTCCTGCCATCCAAGCCTCTCCCCCCCTCTCTTCCTCTTTCCTTCTCCCTCCCCTCGTCTCACTCAGCAGCGGCATGGGTATGAGTCGGAGGAGGAGCAGAGGCACGAGACGGGCGGCTATGACGAGTTTTGAGACGTCTCAAAAGCCATCCCCCACTTTCCCCCTTCTCTTCCCCCTGCCCTCCTCCCCACACCTCAATCAGCAGCGGCATGGGTATGAGTCGGAGGAGGAGGAGCAGAGGCACGAGAGGGGCGGCTATGACGAGGAGGGGCGGTGGGATGAGGAGGGAGGGGAGCGGCGGAGAGCGAGGGAGCGACCCAAGGGGCCTCCGTTGGACCTCGACCTCTCTCTCTTCGACCCCCCTGCTCCACCCGACAAGGTGGGTTGTGCCTTTGTGTGGCCCTTTCATGTGTGTGTGCTGTGTTCGTCCTGTACCCACACAAGGGCCCCCCTTGGACCTCTCTCTCTTTGACCCCCCGGCTCCACCTCTCAAGATGGGTTGCGCATTTGTCTTGCCAGGTCATGTGTATGTGTGTTCATTCTTCTTGCCTTGAGAAACAAGAGGCCTCTCTTAGAGCTCGATCTCTCTCTCGTCCACTCCCCTGCTCCACCAGACAGGGAGGGTAGCGCCTCACAGGGTGTGTGTGTGCTGGGCGTGTGTGTTCATCACTCCGCCCTCTTCAAAATCCCCTCCCTTTTTGACAAAATTTGTGAGCATGCTCTCTTCTCCTCTCACCCTCTCCGTCCCTCTCCATGCACCTCTGCCCCTCTCCACCCTGCTCGACCCTCATTGCCCCCCTCTGCCGCTCTCCGCGTCTCCTCGCCCACTTTCTCCACCCCGCGCCAGATGGTGGGCAATGGGCATCCAGGCAGCGACCTTCGACCCTCATTGCCTCTCGCTGCCCCTCATTGCCCCTCCCCTCTCCCTGCCAGATGGTGATGGTGATGGCGAGCAACATAGTGGGCATCCAAGCAGCCCCATTCGACCCTGACACGTACGAGGAGGGCGGCCCGCAGAACCTCATTCGCTGGCGCCACGTGCGCCGCCCCGATGGCACCATGGGGGTGAGTGTATGAGGAAGCAGTTGGTTTCTTTATCACGTGGAGAGGCATTGGTTGCTGGTATGGCAATGTGTGGTCTAGCAATGTGTGATGATCTGGCGATGTGTGGTCTAGCAATGTGTGGTGGCGATCTAGCAATTTGTTATGGCATGGCATTGTGGTGCGCGGGTGGGTGAAACGTAGTGTTGCTGTTCTTATTCCCCCATTGTCCTGCTTGGTGGAATGGGGGAATGCGACCTAGCAGGTACCGTCGTTCATCTCCATTTCCATCTTCCCTCCACCGCCTGCCCCCTGTTGGATAGCAATGTGCGGCGGCGGCTTGTGCCGCCTTCTATCTCCCACCTGTCATCCCACATGTCATCCCACGTGTCATCCTACGTGTCATCCCATCGCACCAGGTGGAGAGCAACGCGCGCATGGTGAGGTGGTCAGACGGCTCGTTGCATCTGCTGCTGGGCGCGGAGGTGTTGGCCACAGACATCAAGAGCATGCAGCACGACAAGGCTCACCTCTTCGTGCGCCACCCCAAGGTACTGCTGGTAGCCCAAGGTAACTGTTTCCCCAAGGTACTGTTGGTACTTCCAGGTTCCGTTTCCCCATAGTACTTACTGTTAGTACCCCAAGGTACTAACGAAGCTCAAGCCAGCTCCCTCCCTCGCTCCCCTTCCCCTTCTCCCCCTCACCACACACTGCCAGCAAGGGGTGGTACAGGGGCAGGGGCAGCTGTTAGAGAAGATGTGGTTCCGCCCTTTGGACACGCACAGCCTTATCCACAAGAAGCTCACACCCTTTTCTCACGTGATAAAAGAAGTGTTTTGAGACGTCTCAAAACTTATTCACAAGAAGCTCACGCCCTTTTCTCACACTCCAACCTTCGCTCCCTCTCTCACTTCCCCACTCCCCATCCCGCTCTTCCTCCCTCCCTCCTCCTCTCTTTCCCTCCCCTTCTCCCTGCCTCCTGTCCCTTCGCCCCCCGTGAGCAGCAAGGGGTGGTGCAGGGGCAGGGGCAGCTGGTGGAGAAGATGCGATTCCGCCCCTTCGACACGCACAGTCTGATCCACAAGAAGCTGACGCTGGGGCTGGACTCAAAGTACCGCAAGGGCAAGGAGCTGAAGAGCATCGTCACCACGGGCGACCCCGAGAAGGAGAAGGAGGAGCGCGAGCGGGTGAGGGCCGTGGCCTGTCAGGCAGTCAGTCAGTCAGTCAGTCAGTCAGTCAGTCAGTCAGTCAGTCAGTCAGTCAGTCAGTCAGTCAGTCAGTCAGTCAGTCAGTCAGTCAGTCAGTCAGTCAGTCAGTCAGTCAGTCAGTCAGTCGGTCAGTCCGTCAGTTGGTCAGTGAGTCAGGCAGTCAGCCATTCAGTCGGTCAGTCAGTCAGTCAGTCAGTCAGTCAGTCAGTCAGTCAGTCAGTCAGTCAGTCAGTCAGTCAGTCAGTCAGTCAGTCAGTCAGTCAGTCAGTCAGTCAGTCAGTCAGACAGTCAGTCAGTGGCAGTGCACATGTTTGTGTGAGAAAGAGAGTTCATATTCCAAGGCAGGAACTGGAGCAACAAACTCTTCCTTCCCCCCCTCCTCCCCTCCCCGCCTTCCTTCCCACCTTACAGAGCATACAGCAGCAGATCCGCACCAAGGAGACGCTGCGGCAGGAGCAGGAGAAGCTATATGGGTCGTTGGGTGTCTCCTTGTGCAGTTTCAGGAGCAACAAATCCCAAACCCCTTCCCCCTCCCCCCCACCTTCCTTCCCCACCTTACAGAGCATACAGCAGCAGATCCGCACCAAGGAGACGCTGAGGCAGGAGCAGGAGAAGCGAGCGCGGAAATACTCCAACCAGCCGCAGCAGCGCACCGCACGCGACCGCGAGCAGCAGCGATACGGCGGGGGGTACCGGCAACAGGTGCGTGGATTGCCGACAGGTGCAGGTGGGTGGGGGTACTGACAGGTCCGGAGGGGTACAGACAGGTGTGGGGGGAGAAGGGGGTGGCATTGAGTGCCATGGCGATCGCTAGAGGCACGTTGCTGGATTGCTCATGCTCAGCAGCCATGAGACGGTGGTTACCACTCCCACATGTGAGTGTGCGTGGCATGAGCACACACACTCGCGCACCCTTCTCACTGCTGTGTGTGTGTGTGCTACGATGATCCGTCCCTTTGCAGCGGCACCACCAGCCCCGGCCTTCTTCTCACATGCCTTCATGTCTTGTGTTTGGCCTGTGCTGCATGCACGGTGTTGTTTGCTGCATGCATGGTGTTGTTTGCTGCATGCATGGTGTTGTTTGCTGCATGCATGGTGGTTGTGTGCTGCATGGTGTTGTGGTGGCATGGCTTTGTGTGTGGTGGCATGGCTTGGTGTGTGGTGGCATGGATTCGTGTGTGGTGGGGGCATGAGATCATATGGTATGTCAATGATGTTATACGATGTGACCCGCCATGCCTTTACCTGGTACCGTGCCACACCTGACGCTGCATTGCATGGCATGTGCTGCAACAGAGGGAGGAGGAGGGCTATGGATATGGACGGGATCGAGGGAGGGGAGGGGGCGGGCGGCGGAACGAATACGAGAGCGAGGAGGAAGAGGAGGAAGAGGACGAATATGAGGAGGAAGAGGAGGAAGAGGAGGACAGATACGATCGGCGACAAGGGAAGAGGGTGAGTGCTTGGATTAACCTTTCATTTCTTCTCACCTCATTATCCCGTCATCACATTGTCTCAATCTCATTCCCTCATCTCTCTCTCTCTCCCCTTCGCTCTGCTGCCCAACCTTTTACTCCTCCCTACAATCTGTACCTTATGCGGCCTTTGGAGTGCGCGTTATTTTCCACACACGAATTTTTTGCCCACCACCTCTTTCAATATGCCTCCCCCACCAGCGCTCCCCCTCGCACGACCATCGCCCCGCCAAGGCTGCCAAGACCTCAGGCAGAGGAGGGCGGTACAGTGATGAGGAGGACTCAGAAGGGGAGAGGGGGCGAGGGGGGTATGACGAGGGGCGGGGCGGCCGGGGCAGGAGATTGGAGGAGTCTGATGATGAGGGGTATGGGCAGAGAGGTGGGGATAGGGGGCGGGGAGGGGGGGAGGAGCAGGGGGGGGATGAGGAGGATTGGATGGAGGAGAGGGGGGAGAGCAAGAAGGCGGCGGCGTGGCGGAGGAAGAGAGTGGTGGAGAGCGATGAGGATGAGTAGAGGGGATGGGGGATGTCATGCCAGGTGGCTTGAGAGGTGGGGCGGTTGAGGAAGAGAGTGGTGGAGAGCGATGAGGATGAGTAGGTGGGCTGGCTGGGGAATGCTGTGCCGCAGGTGCCATGCCAGGTGCCATGCCAGGTGCCATGCCAGGTGCCATCAGGTGCCATGTCATGTGCCGCAGATGAGGATGACTGGTGGGATGGGCGATGTCATGCCTGATGCGATGCAAGGTGCCGTACCACATGGCATGATGGCATGCGTGGTGGAAAGTGGAATGGGCCGTGTTTGAGGAGAAGAGGTTTCTGCTGCTCTTCTTGAGGTGCCATAGACCAAGGGTTCCGCTGGATGGAATGGAGTGGTGGAGAGTGGTTTAGAGGATTGGGGCAGGATGGCTGATTTGTTAGGGTTCTGGAAGAGAGGCTGCTGCAGTGCAGTGCAGATCTTCTTGAGGTGCCGTGAACCAAGGGTTTGGCTGGTCGATGGAATAGAGCGGTGGTGGTGGAGGAGGCCAGTCGTTAGGATTGGTCAATGGGCAGTATGGGTGACGTAATTGAATTTTGGATGAAGTTGGGAGGTATGGTGGAAGGAGGGGGAGGATGGTGTCACGCGGCCATACCTCTCAGCATGAGGGTGCCTAAGGAGGAAGCAGAGCGGTTGGGGCGAGTGTACCTAGTACTGGGAAAAGTAAGGGTAGGGCGTGTAAGGGTACATTCGGGCGAAGAAGCCTCATGGGTAGGTAGCTAGCATCTGGCAGTCAATGCTGTGTTCCTCCTGAGGTGAAATATTGGTTCTGATTTGAAACCACATGCATTCATGGATAGGGCGAGGCCATGCAGAAGCTGGCATGCATGGATGCATGCAGTGCAAGAGCACACTGAGATTACCATTTCTGATTCACAAGCAGCTGCACACTCCATGCACCCCCATACAACAGCACCACAATAGAAGCCCTTCACTTGCCTAAAAGGGCTCATCCAGTCACTATTACCATAGCATGTTAGCAACACCCACTCAACCAGGATGCAGTCACAACTGGCAATGCAATGCCCAGTAATATAAATTCTCTCCAGTAAGGACAAAAACAATTATGTCCGTCTATTACACTTCATCCAGTTGTAACAAATCGCTCCAGCTTATAATGGTGTAGTTCATGCGAAGTTCCCGCAATTTCCGCCTGCACTGCGACTGTGCTGCCAGGGCCGCGCAGCAGTCTCCTCAACACGCCCTGCTCCTCGCCGGCAGTGAAGGCCACGCGGATGACGGCTCTCCACCCCACGTCAGCGGGCACAAATACCTCCGCGGACTCGACCGCCGCGAGCGACAGGGCAGATTTCTGCAGAGAACAAGGGGAGAGCAGGGTAGGAGGGGAGGGAGGGTTGGTGGATGGATGGGTGTTTGGCTGCCAAGAAGCTTTCGCAGTGCGCCCTTGTGTTCCCTCAACAGCCTCCTTATTGTGCTCTCCTGCTCGCGGGCAGTGAAGGTAACGCGGATGACGGCTCTCCGCCCGACATCGGCGGGCACAACAACCTCCGCGGACTGAACCACCACGAAGGAGAGGGCGGATTTCTGCCGAGAACGAAGAGAAAGGGAGGGGAAGGAGAGGGGGATAGAGAGAGGGAGAGGAAGGGAGAGGGAGAGGGGGAATGGGAGGGGGGATGAGAGGGGGAGAGGGAGGGGGAGGGGAGGAGCAGGGGACATGGAGAGAAAGGAGGAGGCGGGATCAGGGCTTGGGCATCGGTTCTGCCACTGCCACCACTGCTGCTGCGGCTGCTGGAATGTAGGACAAGGCTGAATGATAGGTACATGGATCCAAGATCAGTGGGTGGTTCTGTCAACTCAACGCCGCTGGTGGAAATTGGGGTGGTGGAGGACTTGGTGTGGTGCGCACGGGCCAGGTTGACTCTATAGCGGGGATGAACCTGCACGCGGCAGGGATGGCCGCCTCTATCTCCCGCGGTGGAAACAACCTACTGATTGACATCCAAAAAGAAACACCGGGCACGATTGTTATCCCGCAACGGCGATTTGCAGCCAGACACAACACGCTGTACGCTTCCTGGCTATTGTGCAGCATAGGAACGCCAACGTGGCGACCTGGTCTGAGGGCCAATCGCACCAGGGTACTGCTTGGGGCTGGAGCACACAGTACTGTGGTGTCATGTCATGTCATGTCATGTCATCATGTCATGTCATCTCATGTCATGTCAAGTCATGTCATCTCATGTCATGTCATGTCATGTCATGGTCTACACGGGCATCATGTCATCGTGGTACCAAGACAAGAGCATCCAGTCATTGTGATTGCACATAGTCATTCATTGTTTCAACCGATTGCTAAGAGGGGGCGTTCTGAAGGCATCACGCGCGCCAATGGCGGCGGCGAATTGTGGCCGACGCGGCGATCAAGAGGAGGGGTTACCAGAACTCGCTTCGCCTCGCACCCTGCGGGGAAGTAGGAGAGCTATCGCAAACGCAGCAGTCAGGGAAACACGCTGTGACACGCGGATACTGCACCGTGTGGTCCTTCAATTATCGCGTGCGGGACGCGGTCGCAACAGAGGCTCCTTGAAGGGGAAACTCTGCGTCAACTGTATGAGCCTCGCCTCTTGAAGCAACGCGAAATACTTACTCTTCGGCAATTGCCCGAGCCGCGACCCCGGCATGATTCCGCATCCGCCCTCAATAAGCTTCGCGGGGGGGAAATCAGGTAGTAATACTCGCGACTCACCGTCTGCGCGTTGTACTGCTCCACCGCAAAGAACAATCGCCTGCCTGAGCCGGCACTTGCTGCTGGAAATGAGCCCGTAAACCCATGTATCTCTGCTTCGAAAGCCGCCGCGACTCGGCGGATCACTGATACGAGCGACTCACCGTCTGCGCGTTGTACTGCTCCACCGCAATTCCCGCCGCTCTCTGCGCGAGCGCCGCATCACTGGCCGTGCCTGTCTGCGTGAGGTCCAGCTCCACCCACCCCGCCGCGTTTGCCGCCGGCACGCGCGCCGCTACCGCCACGGCGACGAGGAGAAGCGCCGCGGCGGCGATCGGTGGTAAGAGCTTCATCCCGTGCCGTATGCTGCGGCGACTCAAACTGATCGTGAGATTGAGGATGGCTGGCAAGCAAAACGGCACGTCAGAGGCTACGACGGGCTGTGCAGTCTGGACTGGACTGTATGAATTGCCAGGCTCCCAGGGAGCGACAGCACGGTAGAACGTCTGAACTGAACTAGAGGCGGAAGTCCAGGCAGACACGCAAACCCCCGTCCGGCCGTACCATTACTGCTAGTAGTAGCGGCGATTCAACCGACAACAGCTGCGGTGCGGACGGTACGAGCCCTGCTGGGAGCCTTTGTTCGACGGGCTCGTACCATCGCGCCACGCCGTGGCGGACAGGTACGGTAACGGGACAAAGCCGTTTGTAAGATGGTGGTGGGATCGCAATTGCAACATGATAGCCGCTGCGCCAGCTATCTGGTTACAATACGCCGGCGGTTCGACAGTGGTACAGTACAGTCCTGTTCGAGCACTGCTACTAGCTCTCGAAGACTGGAGTGTGAGGACCTCACCCACGCCGAAAGTGCTCCACTGGAAGTGTGGCTGGTTCCGCCGCTTCTCCCTGTAAATCTGCCTTGCCTGATACGGGCGAAATCCCTCGCCGCACTTCTGCATGATCCGCTCCGTCGCAGCCCTATGTCGCAGGCGGTAAGGCGCCAACTACTACGTGCGCGGTCGTCAACACCTTTGGACAAAGGCTGGAACTTCGGAACTTGGAATACCATCAGCCAGCCGGCAGCTCCCGTTATTGTGTCAGTCTCCTCGCAACCGATTGGCCAATTGAAGTTTTCATGTGAGCTTTCGCCCAACTACTTATACGAACTAGATTGCCACGTGGCTTTCTTTGCTTGTCTTTCGTCGCAAGATCCCCTAAACGACTGAGGATCGCATACAGTAAACTGAAACTGAACGGAAACTGAATTTATGGAACTATGTAAGGTAAATTCCTTATCCTTACTTCGCGTCCCTGCTCAGCGCGTACACCACTGTAGCACCACAGTCAGCACCGTTGCCACTCGCAACCCTCGCATCGACAATCCTCCCGCCACCTTCGCACGTCGCACCCTGACCTCACGGCTCGGCGGGTAACCCGCGAACCGGGCCTCCACCTCGAAATTTTCCCAAACCTCGGTTCTAGGCCCGTCGTGCATCACCCACAGTCCATTACCGTTACCACTGTAGTTTCGCTATATATTCTTCGCTCATGCCTTCGCTCATTGTACTTTTGCTTCGATAGTGCAATTCTCGTTCGATCACTCAATTGCACCCATAACACTTGGTATTCAGAGCCTACAATCTCTTCTCGGACCGCACCCAGACATTCGCTTCCCCACTATCTCAATTTTTGGAGGGGGGGTAGACGTCTCTCAGCGACACAGCACCGCCGCTCGTAGTGCTCTCTCGTAAGCACGCACGGCCACGACAGAGGCTCTCGCTGAGCTTGCCCGACACCCCCGCCATGGCCGAATTCACTCTCGCGACACTGACGCAGGAGCAACTCGACCGTCTCGTGCGCCAAGTTGAGGAGCCGGCGCTCGAAATTGCGACGCTCACGGCGGAACGTGACTCCGCGCGTCAGCAATCCACGGTGAATACTCCAGCGCCACCACACGCACCTGCAAATGCACCTGCACAATCGGAGGAGCCGATCATCATTTCATCGGGCACACCGACACAGAATGACAGCGTGGGAGAACGCTCAGGCGCAGCCAGTGATGGCGCCGCCCACTCGATGCCTGGCATGGAAAGGAACAGGGTCGCGCCAAGCCCGCGGGAGCCTCGCGAAGCCCGTCAGCACGTGGAATTTGCGGTGACAAGCGGCGACCACGCCATCATGGCGCCAATGCCACTCAAGCCGCAGCGCCCGCCTTGTTTCGACCCGAGCCAGCGTGGAGGTCCGACGGTTCAGTCGTGGGTCTTCACGATGAACGTATTCTTCGACGCAAATTATGTCGAGTCGGACGCAGCGAAGATTAGATACGCCGTCTCGCTGCTGAGGGGTCCTGCCATGGACTGGTGGCGAGTCATCGTGACGTCGCCACGCGCCTACGAGCCACCGTCGCAAGAGGAAGGGCCCATGGGTCCAGCCGTCACCTGGAGCTCATTCTGCGAAAGCGCCCAGTACAGCACGTGGGATGCGTGGTGCGAGGGTTTCGGGCGCGCTTCGAGCCCATCGCGGCTTCTATTTCGGCGCGTCAGAAGCTGCGTACTTGGCGGCAGCTCGGGTCGGTCGAAGACTACACGAGCGGTTTTCTCGCATTATGCGAGCAAGTCGGCTACATGCACGAAGCGGAGCGGGTGGACCGTTACGTCGGAGGGCTGAAGCCGTGCATCTCGCACGAAATCATGCTACGCGGACTCTCGAATTTCAACGAGATTCTCGCGCTCGCCGAGAAAATCGACATTTTGCGCCGTCCGAGACCGGGGTCCTACTGCGGACATCGCCCTCGGGGACCGATCGAGCACGCCACCGTACATGCCGTTGCGATAAATGCAGCTGCCGCGCCGTTTAAGGGGCGCTGCTTTGCTTGCAACAGGCCGGGCCATCGCAAGAGTGAGTGCCCAGAGGAGCTGAGGCGCCGCGGAGCAGAGCAGGAGAGGGAGTCTCCAAGGCAGGGAAACGCCAGCAGTCAGTAGGAATCGGGCCAACTACTGACGAGACTGCCTGCTCGCCCAACCCCACCGACCCTCACCGAGTCACAGTACCGATTCATGCTATCGATCGGGCTCGGACGAATAAGGAGGGTATAGCGACGGATTGCCCAGTACTGATCCACGGGAAAATACAGGGAGCAGAAGTGAAGATCTTTATCGACGGAGGAGCAAGTCACAGTTTAGTTAATACCGCAACCGCACGGAAACTGCAACTGACACTTAGCCGGTGTTTACCAGAGATAGATGCACGCTTAGTTGACGGCACGCCGCTGGCCATACGGGAAAAGGTGGAGAGAGTCAAAGTCCGCTGCGGGGGGAATTTCGGGTTTACATAGGAAATGCGGGCGACGACACTGGATGGGCACGACTTTTTACTGGGACGTGATTGGCTGCGACGGTATAACCCGCGAATTGACTGGACGACGGGCAGCTGCATTGTGCGAAGTAGCGGTAACTTGGTCGAACTACCTCGCTGGCAGTCGCCTGAGTCTTCAACGGTACACGTCAACGTCGTCACCATGAAACGGGCTGTCGCCGCTGTAGCTGACTTGTACGCAGTAGACATTGCAGTGGTAGAAGAAGCAGAGGAGCCGAGTGATTTCAAGAAACTGCTGGCAGCGTTACCGCCCGAACTACAAGAACTGTTGAAACGATACCCGGAGATTTTTCCTGACGATTTACCGGAGGGACTGCCACCTCAGCGAGAACATGACCACCGAATAGAATTAGAACCGGGAGCACAGCCAACCGTACAGCGCCAGTTCAGACTGACACAACCCGAGCTCGACGAACTGAGGAAGCAGTTAGATTACCTGTTAGAGAAGAAATTCATCCGACCGAGTTCGTCACCGTTCGCCGCACCGATACTGTTCACGCCGAAAAAAGACGGAGGGTTTCGCATGTGCATCGATTACAGAGCGCTCAACATGGTAACAGTCAAGTCGCGATACCCCATTCCCCGCGCCGACGAACTGATAGACCAACTGCGAACAGCACGGTTTTTTTTCGAAAACAGATTTACGGGGGGGATTACCATCAGATTAGAGTCGAACCATCGGACTGCGCCAAAACAGCTTTTCGGACTAGATACGGGTCATTCGAGTACACCGTGATGCCCTTCGGGCTGACCAACGCACCGACGACTTTTCAGATGACCATGAACGAAACATTTAGGCCGCTTTTAGATAAATGCGTGATAGTTTACCTCGACGACATCCTCGTCTATAGTCTTGACAAGCAGCAGCACTTAGCAGATCTGGAAGCAGTATTTAAAATTTTAGACGAGCATCGGCTACTGACCAAGGGTTCCAAGTGCGAGTTTTTGGGGCACGTCATTTCGGAGGCTGGGGTCGAAATTGACCCGAAAAGGTTGGACACGGTAAAAGCCTGGCACCCTCCGACGAATATCACGGAACTGCAGAGCTTTTTGGGGTTCGTCAATTACGTGCGTCGGTTCGTCCCCGACATGGCACGGTTAACTGCGCCGGTGACAGACTTGCTAAGGAAGGGGGTCGCTTTTACGTGGGGGGAGAAAGAGCATGCTGCCTTCTCTGCCCTGAAAAATTTCCTCCGTTCACCGCCCGTACTGCGCATCGCCGACCCACACCGCCCATTCGAAGTAGTTACAGACGCAAGTGACATCGCCATCGGAGCAGTACTGCTACAGGGGTTCGGCAACGGCCTACAGCCCATCTCATACGAGTCACGAAAACTGCATCCGCCCGAGAAAAATTACCCGATACACGACCGCGAAATGCTTGCGATCGTGCACGCATTCAAAGTGTGGCGCTGTTATTTGACCAGCGCAGACGTGACAGTACGGACAGACCATAATCCACTATAGTACCTCCGCGCATAGCCACACCTCAACCCACGACAGATTCGCTGGCTCGATTTCCTCGAGTCAAACTTCCACTACACAGTCACCTACAAAAAAGGGGCATCGAACATCGCCGACGCACTGACCCGCCGCACTGCCCAGCTCCACGCAATACTACTCGCCCAGACCAGCCCGCTATTGACAGGCCTATTTACCCACGGGTACTAAACGGATCCATTCTTCACAGGAGGAAATTCGCAGCAGTTTGCAGCAGCAAAGGGAGTCTATTACGTAAAAGCTGGGACCGACCGCATCTGGGTACCAGGGTATACACTGCTACGGGAATTACTGTTACATGAGGCACACGATGGAGTTACCGCGGGGCACTTCGGGGTAGAGAAAACACGGCAGCAGCTGCAGCGGTATTATTACTGGCCCGAAATGTTGACCCACGTTCAACGACACGTGGCATCGTGTCCCACTTGCCAGATCATGAAGTCATCACGGAAGCGGCCGGCAGGACAATTGCAGCCGA